AACACGAATATCTTAAAAAAATGATAAAAAGAAATTTTCAAACTTTAATATTTAAAAAAAAGAAAGTTCATTAATAATAACACCAATAATAAAAACATTACCAACAACAAATATTTCTTCACAAAATCGTAAATATGGAGCACAAAAATCTTTAAAAAAAGACTGACAAATAAAAAGTCAAGTAGTAGCAGCAACACAAAAACCACTAGTAGTGGAGCAGGTGGAAGTATGATACCAGCCTCACAACAATTCCATATAACAGATAAAAGGTATGAAGTAATTAAACAAGTACTTTACGAAACCGAGAAACCAGACTTGTCATCATTGACACAAGAAGATTTGGAAAGACATGAACGATAGAACGAGCATGGAAATTATTTTGTAGACATCAAAAAGAACAAAAAGAGCTTGAATTAGCAAGAAAATATTGAATGTTAAATGAGGCGAATATTGAATTAGAAAAGGTAGATGAACGATTATTTAAAGAAGCTCAGCTTAATAATTCAAAAATATTGTTTCCTGGAAAAATGAAAATTCCTACAGAAACACCACCTTTAGATGGATGGAATTATAATTATACTAAACCTATTACTACTACAATAGTGAATAAGGATGATGAAGTGGTTGATGAGGTAGATGGTGATGACAATGATGACGATGACGATGATGATGATGATGGTGATGATGGTGATGGTGGTGGTGATGATTATGATGATGATGATGATGATGGTAATGTGGAAAATAATGTTGACAGTAGTAATAAACAATAGATGAAAATTAAAATTTTTCGCCCAAAATTTTTGTGACTTCTTTCTTCATCTGGCCTGGACAATTGATTGAAGAAAACTTTCATTTCATTTCTTCTGGTGGATGGGATTAAGAAGATCTAAATTTGGTTTTAAGTTCAGAAGAAATTTAACCCTTTTTAAATTATGAAATTGAACAAAGATGCTCCTCCCATAAAATGGTTTATAATAATAATATTGTTATTATTACTATAAAAAGTTTTTTAAAATTCAAAAAATTCAAATTTACCCAATAAAAATTTAAGCATATGTCACATGATCACCAGTTTGTTATTGTTTGTTATTGTTAAAATAATTTTGATCCCTGTAATTTGGTTTTGTCCCATATTAATATGTTTCGAATCTGCTGAATCTATTTGGTTCAACAATTTAAAC